CTTGCAGCAGCTCGTGCGCTCCCTCTTCTACCATGGACTTGAGCAGCTTCAGATGCTCCGCGTTCCCCTTCAGCTTCCGCATGTGCCGCCTGCACTGCTCCCCCGACCTCTCCATCGCCTCTCCCACTTCAGCCCAGTGCCTTCGCTGGATCCCTTCCTCCTCCTCTTGCAGCTTCCCTGCCTCCTCCTCCTCTCCCTGCCTTGCTCCCTCCTCCTCTCCTCTCCGTCTTGCTCCTTCCTCTGCCTCCTCCCGCGACATTTCTTTCCTCTTCTGCTCCTGAATGTACGCCTCGAGCACCTTCAAAGGTGAGGATGTCAAATCGATGAAAACGATGAGGAGGAGGAGGAAAAGTAGATGGTGGACGAGGAGCAACAGCGACGGGCGCAGACCCCCAGAACAACGAGGACGAGGTGGAGAAAGAGGAGGAGGCAGAAGATGGAGGCAGGGGAAGGAGGAGGAGGAGGAGGTTGTGGTGGAAGCAGGAAGAGATTGAGACCCGCTGACCTGCGCGTACATGAACACCAGCTCCATCTCCTCGTTCAGCCCCCACGAGGTTCTGGCTCGCTTCCTCCTCCTCGGCAGCACGACCACCTTGTCGTCAGCGAGGGATGTCTCCTCCCCATCGCTCATCTCCATCTCCTCCCCATCTTCCTTCTCAGCCCCCGGCCCCGCAGCAGCCTCCTGCTCCTCAACTTGCTGCTGGGTCTCTGGCGTCGATCGCTTGCGGAGGTGCTGGAGAGCGTTTCTGACCTTCCTGCTGTCCCTCACTATCGGTCTCTTCCTCTCTCCCTCTCCCTGCGCCCGCAGGTTGTTCTTCTTAGAAACGGTCTTCAGCCCCGTCCTCCTCGCCGTCGGAGCAAGGAAGCTCGCTGCTCTCGTGCGCTGAAACGGCGCATCGAAGGGGAAGGAGACGTGAGGGACCTGAGTGAGGGTCAGGTGGTGTTGGAAGAGAAGGAGTGAAGGAGGGGGAGGGAGGATGTGGCAGGATGGTGGTGGTGGTGGTGGAGATGATGATAATGATGATGATGATAATGGTGGTGGTGGTGGTGAGGAGGAAGAGGAGGAGGAAGAGGAGGACGATGGAGTGATGACGATGATGGAGAAAGAAGGAGGAGGTGAGGTAGTGGCAGACCTTGCTGAAGAATCTTGCGATCGACTCTTTGGAGATGGTCAGGAGGCAGGCGAGCTTGGAGACGAAGGCGACGGCATCGGGGGAGGAGGAGAGGGAGGACTGCGAGGGTCGAAGGAGCGCCTGGTCGGGAACAGCAACGTCCGTCATGCTGTCCATCTCCTTGTCGATCAGAAGTTTGTGATCCTCCTCTTTAGCAAACGCGGTCTCCCAGTGCCTGCGGGACAGCATCCATAGCCCCTCCTTCTCTCCCGGCTGCATTCCCCCTTGCTCTTCCCTCCCCTCCTCCTTCTCCTTCTCTTCCCCCTTCTCCTCCCTCCCATCCCTCTGAAGGAGGAACGACAGCTGCGACGACCCGCACATCATTGCGATCCTCCGCCAGAGCTCGTCGAGGTCAGCGGCACTCTCCAGCTGCATCTTTTCGCTGCTACTCGCGCCTTCTCCGCTGCCGACGATGAAGCTCAAGTCGACGAGCGAGTGCAGTCGCACGACCTCCGTCGCCTCCTCCACATCCCCCTCGTCCGAGATCGACCTCGTCTCAAGGAGCACGGACGCAAAGCCGACGCGTGCGAGCTGAGAGACAAACTCCTTCACCTTCTTGAGGACGCGCGCTGAGGAACTTTCCAGCTTCTGCTGCACTTCCCCCCCGCATCCTCCGACCGTCGTCTCCTCCTCCATCAGCTCGTTCAGCCCTGGGATGGCGTGCGGGCAGCCGATGACTTGGAGGAAGACGACGAGCGGCATGCCCTGCACTATCTCCTCGTACCTCAGCGACTTCACGCTCGGACACTGGAGGCCCGAAGGAGGAGAAGCGGCAGGAGGAAGAGGAGCGACAGCGACAGCGGCGGCGGCGGCGGCGGCAGGAGGATCAGGAGGCGCAGCAGCAGCCAGGAATCTTCGGAAGAGGAAGCGGTGGAAGGCGTAGAGCTGCATCAGCTTGGAGGAGGAGAAGCCGTTAAGGAGCTTCCCGAGATGGTGAGCGGAAGAGTCGCCGGACTTGGGGGCTCGCCGGAGGTCCTCGGGGGAGAGGAGGTAGCGGACTACCTGCCTCTCCTCCCCGTCCCGGTACTGATAGGGGTTGACGTTGAGTGCGGCCACGACTTCCTGTCCTCTCAGGTCTGTACCGGGGACGAAGATGAGATCAATGGCCTTTGCTGACTTCCTTCCTCCTCCTCCTCCGACACCGCCAACTCCATCGGCTCCTGCTCCTGCTCCTGCTCCTCCCCGATCTCCCTCGTATGTCTTGCGACAGATGTGGCCGAGAGACACGAGCATCGAGACAAGTCGATCCACCGTCTTGCCGTCCACCGTCACACTCGCCTGACAAGCAACGATCGTGTCAAGAACAGAAGAGGAGGATGGGGAAGAAAGGGATGGGGAGAGCAGGGAGTACAGTCTGACGATGGAGGCTGAGGAGGATGTGGACAAAAGATGGGCAGAGAGCGGAAACACAAGGATACAGAGCTGGATCAGGTAGGAGCGGGGATAGGAGCAAGCAAAAAGAGGGGAAGGGAGAGGAGGGAGGGAAGGGAGGAGGGCTAGCGATCAGTCTGAGATGCCTCGTCACCTTGCCATCCTCTCGTGCGATCTTGTTGTCGACGGAGCGGAGGAAGGGACGGATGTCAGACACCAGCATCGCCTTCACCTTGCCCAAATGCTCCAGCAGCGCATTGCTACGCACGATCACCTGCTTGGTCACCGTTGACCCGTCCCAGCTGGGATGTGACATGACCGACTCTCGGCTGATCCTTCCCTCCACAGGTGGGCAGCATCCACCGGTTGGACCTTGCGCGTCCTCGGCCTTGGGCGGCTCTTCATCGTTGGGGAGAAGCTTCACAGCGCTACCAGGGGGAGCAACCCCCTCTCTCCCCCCCTCCTCCTCCTGCATCAGCAACCTGTAGTGCATCTGCTTCCCGTTGTTCTCCGCATTCAGCTTGACGCCGAAGGACGAGGCGAGCGTAAGGACGAGGTTGTAAGACACCTTGATTTCTACCCCGAGCGTCCTCGCAAGATCCGTGTGCAGAATCCCACTCGCTCCCGCTGCCCTTATCATCCGCAGCTCTTGCTGGACCAGCGGCACCTGGAGGACCGGGCTCCCTTCACTCGACGCAGCGGGCTCCTCGTTTCTGACTAGCCGAAGGCAAGAGACCTTGCCAGAGGCGTTCGCTTTGGCTGCTTCCCCCTCCTCCTCTCCTCCTCTCACCACGAGGATCCTCTCAACGCTACCAGAATTCTCGAGGTTCCGCCGGATCCTCTCCCACAAGTGGTGGACTTTGGCCTTGGAGAATTCTTGGCTGGACAACAACAGCTTCTTCAGCTTGATCTCCGGAAGAAGACTGTCGGGCGTTGCCTCCAACAGCTGCACAGTCCTGCAGTGAACGCTCTCACATCGAGCTCCTCCTACAGCTCCTCCCATCACTTCTCTCACCTCTCTTCCAGCGGCTTCAAGTCCTCCAGCAGCGAGACCCCCTGCGCCAAGTAGAACTCCTCGCTCTGAGCGAACCGCGGGAGGACGAGGAGGTTGGTGCGAAGGGTTGACTGAGCCTCCCCCGTCCCACTCACTGAGACCTGCTTGACAACCAGCAGCTTCCTCGCCTTCAAGGGCTTCATGTGATGGAACAGAGTCTTCGGGTCCATCATCACCAGCTTCGAAAGCTCGCTCTGCAACACTCCGTTCTGCCTGTAGCCCGCGATGCTCTCTAGGATGCGCAACGACGCGTCCTGCAGCGCTACTGCCTCTGTGATCCCCAGAGAGGCCAGGCGAGTGTTGCTGTCGGCGACGAGCCACACGCACTGGTTGCCATGAGAGGACCTCTCCTCCATGGAGATGCACGGCATGGACTGGAGGCGCCTCTCAAGCCTCTGACGAAGGTAGGGAGCGAGGAAGATGCCGCTCGACAGCTCGAGGCGATCGAAGAGCTGCTGCAGAGACAGCCCCTGCCTCCCCGCCAACCCACATTCGTCCACTGCTTGCCCGACTAGCTCTTCCATGCCCTGAAGCTAAGAGCACGCCTGCCCTGATCTCTCAGGATCTGCAAACGAACTTTGTGATGAGAGGACAAGAATAATCTGCTTGCTGATGCTTTCGACACCTCACTCGATCCTATCTTAATTCTATCCACCCCCTCGATTATCCTTACCCTGCCCTCATTTCCTCTTCCCAACGCACCCAGCACCCGTTCTAAAACAAAACACTATCCGAGATGATGCTTGTCCTCTCACCCTCCTACTCCCAGCCCTCCTCTGTCATCACTGGCAAGATGCTTGGCATTAGGACTTGCAGCAAGCATGAGCTGCCGTCTGGCACAATGTGGTAACACCCCTCCTCTTTCTTTTTTTTCTTCTGACCCCCTTTTTTT